TTAAATGTGGGTTAACATAAAACATGGGGGGGGGGAGAAAGCGTGTACATATAACTCACGGTTTAATGTCGGGTTTTGAGGTGGCTCTACTCGGACGGCGGCTTTCCCTCACGACAACTGATGGCTGGGTCTGTGGCAATAAGCTTCCACGGACAGTGGCGCGATCCCGGCGGCGCGGTAATAATATATTATTATCGGCGGGAACGGCTCGACTTCTGATTCAACAGGGACTCTGCTCGGACGGAGGTATGTTGAACTTAGAATGACTCGGATGGTGCAGCGTCTTCCTCGGTCTGCTCGGCAATTGATAGTTGTACGTTGGTCGGTGACACTGGCTACTCAGCTCGGACGGCGGCGCTCAGTGACTACGGACACGTATCAACTTGTTCCAACTCGGACGCACTGCGGCGGTGGTGGAGTGGAAAGGAATGCCGGGACAGACTGTATGAACATCCGTTCTTGCCGATATAAATATTGGCCGGCTTACTATTGTTCTTCGCAGCGGGGAGAACGTTGTTTGAAGGGTGGCCAGCGGCTTATATTTCTGCTATGCCGGGCATGCTGGTTCCATGTTGTTTGGTTGTAAAATCGTATATTACGTTGTTCATCATTCGGCGATTTGTTGAGGTGTTTGATATTGACTGGAGTATCTAACTTATAGTTCAGAACTCAAGGAAAAAGAATATGTCACCCGCGACTTGATCGGAGGTGTGGTTCTGTTGGAAAACTCGATTTCCCGGTGGGCGGCGGGCACTTGTGCAATAACGCGTGGATGCGCGCTATCTACATTTTATAGCGGCAGACGCGCGTAGTCGCAGAATTGGTTTCTCGCGGCGGCACTCACTTGTGTTTGCTGGTAATGTATAAAACCAGAGCGCGCCACCTATTTGGTCGCTCCGTTTTATCTCATTACATAGTCAAATCCGAAGGAATAGACAAACAACCGGAGAAACTAGAGGGCATCATAAACAACCCCCCACCAACAAAGCTGAGGGACCTACGGAAGTTCCTGGGCGTTTGCAACTGGTACAGCTAGTTTTTCGACAACTACGCGGACACCATAGCACCCCTAACGAATAGACTCAAACAGGGAACCAAATGGTCGTGGACCGAAACCGAACAGGCGGCATTTACCAAAATAAAACGCGCCCTGTACGATTCGCCTAAAATATCGACGCCGGATTACGGAAAACCATTTTGCCTACAGACCGATGCTAGCGAGATAGGAGCGGGTGCCATCCTTTTCCAACGGGGTGACAGCCCGGACGAAAGGCGGATAATCGCCTACGCAAGCAAAAAGTTTAGTGATACGCAAACAAGGTACACCGCGGTAGAACACGAGTGCCTCGCGATAATCTGGGCAACCGATAAGTTTAGACCATACCTGGAGGCACGCTGGTTTGACCTATACACAGACAACTCAGCACTCACATGGCTCCACCGAGCCAAAAACACAAACTCAAAATTAACCAGGTGGGCACTACAGCTGGCCATGTTCCAGGTGTTGTATATATAACGAAATTATAAAATATTAACGTACAGAACGAAGTGCCGGACATGCTCTCCCGCAACCCGACCACCGGGCCCGCGGTAGACGAGGAACACCTCGAGGAACGACTAGTAGGAGTACCCACCTCACCACTCTTCACCACTACTAGCTCACCGGCCGACAATCTGTTCGCCACGACGAACCCGGCTAACACCACTAGTCATCCCACAATCACACACGCTATGCTCGTGACATGGCAGGCCAATGACCCCAACACACGAGACATAGCGCACAACATGACAACGGACGACCCAGCGCGCAATACCGGAGGTACCTCGGAAAAAAAACAATTCATTTTACCGACGGTCTTCTCCGGATAAATTCGGGCGAACACACACCCGTAGTCATCCCAAAAACCAACACGCAGAACGTGATCTGGACATACCACGATCACGTACTCGCAAACCACCCGGGCTGGAAAGAAACGTACAGGGCGGTCAAACAACGTTTTTTTTTGGAAAGGATAAAAAAACGACATCCGACTGTACGTCAAGTCGTGTCACATATGCGCGTGTACCAAACCACTAAACACGCGCGCAGACGGCCCCGCGACCACCAGAATACCCCGACACACCTGGGAGGTGGTAAGCATAGACCTCATGGGCCCCTACCCGCGCACGAGTAGGGGAAAACAATATATACTGGTCGCCACGGATTTGTTTAGTAGGTGGACCGAGGCATACCCCCTCGGAACAGCCACTACAAAAACAATAACCGAAACGCTCGAACGAGAATTCTTTTCACGTTTCGGATACCCCCGTGTGTGCTTAAGCGACAACGGCCCACAGTTCGTAGCAAACGATATGCGTAAAGCGATCGAACAGTGGTTAGCCGAGGGCTGGACAACTCCGGTATATCACCCGAGGGCCAACCCAGTCGAACGCCGTAACCAGGAATTAAAAAAAGGTCTACGCGCGCTACTCGTCAATGGCAACCACAACACCTGGGACACCAAATTAGCCCCCATACTTTTTTCGATCAGGAACAGGCGCAACGACCGGACAGGTTACCCACCATCGGTACTCGTCCTCGGGAGAGAGGGCAAAAGACCGGGGGACTGGATACTGTCGCGGACAGCGGACAACCCGATCGAACAAATAAATATGGACAGAGCTAGGCGCGAAATCAAAGTACTCACCGCACCACCGGCAACATGTGGCCCGACGGACACAAAGTACAAAACAAGTGACACGGTGTACTACAAGGCACACCACCTGTCAAGCGGGCACAAAAAGTTTCAAGCCGGCTTCGCACCGAAATGGTGGGGACCGGTGAAACTACACAAACGCGTAGGCAAAGGTGTGTTCATCACAGACCAACAGCCAGCACGCAAAATACACGTGTCCTGCCTCAAACGGGCGAACACAGCAGAGCCCCAACCACCATGGCGGCCAGAGTACGACGGATGACCACCGTGCAACTCCAGCGGGACCCAGTACTGTGGGCGGCCTACACGCGGGGGTGGGAGGACCGCACCGCCGTGTTCAAGAGGGCAACAAGCGGCGCACCCACAGCGGCAGGACAGCACACCAGGTCACGAAGCCCCAGACGGGTGGCACAGCCACCGGCCAACACCCGACCCGCGGCCAACACCCAACAGGCGCAGCCACGGCCGCCAACGCGGGCAACCAAGAGGCCACCACCCCGACCGCTGATGGAGAGGCCGGTACTATTGCCAAGGACAGCGACCAGGCCACCACCAACAACCACCTTCAACCCGCCACCACCGCCGACACTAAGGGCCACCGCACCAACACCACCTGCAGCTACGTTGAACGCCAGCCAACGCCGGAACCAGCAGCGGAAGCGGGACTACAGAGCCAAGCTACAACAGGCGTCCCAGCAACACCGCCTGGAAAAACAGGCACAACCCGTAACCCCAGGCCCAGAGACGGTCCTGTCACAGCCAGGGCCTACGACCCCGCACCTCACCGTGGGCACGTTGCCGGAAGTGACACACACTTCCGGAGCGACCGGAACCACGGAACACCTAGCGGCCGCCACCCCCCAAACCGAGGATATCGATATATCCCCGGAGCAGGAGGCGCAACTGTTAGGAGGTACGGGCGCAAACCTGGCTGATGGTGAAGACATGGACGTCAGCCTTCTGTACTTTAGCCCCCCCACATCGACCAAACACTACTAGACACCGCCAGGGCCACGTCCGCTGAACACAGCCGGAAAACGTGCCCGCGGACAGGTGTCTACCCCAACCACCTTTGACAAACCACAACACCGGCAACTGCCGGAACACCAACGCCGTTGGCGGTTTGGGGGGGGGAGTATGACGCGGTCCCGCGCAAAATCTGTTTGAATTCAAACAGCCTTTGCGCGGAAGCCACGCCGTGGCTTCTCAATCAAACCGCCAATCGACGACGGACGACGCCGGCGCGCGACACCCGCGCCTGGAACCGTCGGCCGGCCGTCCGGTGAACCGGATTGACAAGATTCTTTCTCTCGTCCTTACGACACCGACCGACACAGACCGCCACCATCCTTACACACGATCCCGCGGAATCGATATCGTTTTTTTGTACAAAATTAAATTGAATATTCTCGCTGAGTCTTATACCAATAAAGGTCAAAACAATCACATATCAGTGCGTCATTTGTTGTTTCGTATTTTTATTTCGTTTGTTTGTTCCGACCCGACAGTACTCCGTCGGTCACCACCACCACATCACTATCCACGCGGCACTATTTAAGTCCTCATCAAAGTTCCTAAGGATTTGAAACCGATTTATAAAAAACCATACCGTTTACCGTTTTCACAACAACCGGAGATAGAAAAACAAATAGGTCAAATGATGAAAGATGAAATCATAGAGAGATCAATGAGTCCGTTTAATGCACCACTAATATTAGTCAAAAAAAAAGGAGGACGCCTCGGGGAAACAAAAATTCAGAATAGTTATCGATTTTAGGGCACTTAATGAAGTAACTTTAAATGAATTTCACCCATTGCCAAATATAACGGAAATATTAGACATCAGGATATTTCCAGGTGCCTTTATCTAAAGAATCAAAAGAACTTACGACATTTTCAACGGGACAAGGGCATTATCAATTTAAACGATTAGTTATGGGTCTAAGTTCAGCTCCGGCGACATTTCAAAAAATGATGACGGACGTATTGTCAGGATTAATAGGAATGAAGTCTTTAGTATACTTGGACAACATAATAGTGTATGCTAAGAACTTACAAGACCACAATGAAAAATTAATAGACGTATTCGAAACAATTGTTTGTCTCTACCAAATCGCATTCTTAATTCGTAATTAATACCTGATCGAAAATTATAATATTTTTCGATTTTAGATATTATGTGGTACTCCGACGGACTGTTTAAATCCCTCTAAAGGCTTGGTTTCCTACAATCACGCATCCGTGATCGCTCGGTCACACTTGCGTGATGCGTGATACAGCTGTTTTGCTACACGATGCGTCATTATGACTGTGGGATTGAAAAGTTGGTCAGTTGGTGTCAGACCGTCAGACGAAATGGACGAAATGGACTTGGCACTCTACAATTTGATCGAAGATGATGCAGATGAAGAACTTTTACTCCTTTCTTTATATTTTATAGAAGAAAGTGACGATATTTATAATGAAAGGAAGAGAGAAGGATGCTTCAATAACTTAATTCAAAGACGTTTAATTGATAATGAATCAAAGTTCAAAGCTTATTTTAGAGTGTCCTTTGAGTTATTCAATAATATACTAAATTACATGAAAGAAGATATTAGAAGGCCACCAAATAATCGTATAAAAAAACCAATAACTCCAGAAGAAAAGCTATGTGTCACTTTGAGGTAAATTAAAATTAGTTGGTATATTATATTGTGTTCACTATTTAATTATTTAGTGGTTTTTAAATGTTTATTAAAAAAAATGTAAATACATGAATCTAACTTTATAAAATAATATTTCACTTTTTGAATTTAAAATAATAATAAATGGTTTTAATAAATTGTTATTACTTTTTAGTATTAAATAACGAAAAATATAATAATAATAATAAGTACTCAAATTAGTCTTAGGGCATAGGTAGGTAATTCAAATATGTAAAAGTATTATTTGGATTTGGTTCGTCAACAGGAATTCTCGAATATGACTATAATGATTCTTCACTTGAGACTGGAATAATATTTTGTGTAGATGAACTTGTTGATGCTGTTTCTTGATCCATCGTTCCCATTGATATATTTGTCTTTAATGCGCGCAATTCTATTTCGGATATAATATTGCAAACCCGATTTCTCGCCTCTACTGCCAATTCTGGAGAAAAGTCATGACTGTTGAAGCCAAACTCTTAAAAAAAATTTGTATTGGATGGTTTTCGGATTGTTGCTTTATTTCTTTGATAATTTTTAATTGTTCTTCTCTACCTTGTCTCATTTCTTATAACAATCTTTCCTTGTTGCCTCCTTTTTTGGTTTTTCATTAAAATTTTTAAATATTTCGTTTGGGACAACATTTGAGGTATTATTCAAATTATTTTCATATTCGTTTGTTTCATTAAAATATTGAAGTTGCACTAGTTGGTTCAATATACATTTCGGAGTTGTAGTTTTCAGTCTGGTGCGCACTGTCACTTCCTGTTATCTCTGAACAATCCAAGCTTGCAGTATTCTCAATATTTTTTTCGATCATTATACTTGATTTTGTCCTAAAATTTCATATTATGTTTTAATAAACAAAGAAATAAATTGTAATATTTTAAATATTACTACGAATAAAAAAAAGGTAGGGCAGCATTAAGGTGGAGGAAGTTTGTTCATCGTCTCTTCATTCCCCGGAAAGGATGGTGTAATTTTGCAGTAATGTGAATGCAATGACTGCATTCGATAAAAAAACAATTCTGAGCGGACGGAAGAATATTTTTTATTTTATTAAATATAAATATTATTTGTTTCTATGGCGATAAACAAGGCGTTAAAAATTGAAATCCCGTTTTTTGGTAATTTTTCGGTGGTTTTTTCCGAGGCTTTAAATAACTATTGAGAAAATCAAAAAATGACCTCCCAAAAGTATCAACTAAACTTAATCCATAGGATAAAAAAAAAATAAAAAAATAAACATAATTGTAAAACCACTAGATCCACCGCACCACTCAGAATCTAAAATAAAAAAAAAACTTTAAATAAGTACTTTTTAAAACCCTAATATTTTTTTAAAAAGTTATTACTTTTTAAATTAATGAGCCTTACAATAAAAAAATATTGATATGTTAAAAAACCATAAAAAAATGTTTCACAATCAACTTTTCTAAAAACCAGATTTACAAAGTTATTATACCTATTGAAATTTAAAAATAATATTTTAAAGTATAGAAAATAATAAAATAAACATAATATGGTGTACATTTTCGTTGAATTTCTATGTTTAAAAGCTTGTAAAAAATATTAAGAAAATAGTGTTTACCTTCTCTCCTCTTCTTGTTCGTTCAAAAAGCTTAATGCGTCATCATTGTATTTTGATTTATTTTTTGCAGCTGAACCAGTACCCATTTTCATTTTTTTTAAAGTTTTTTTGTATGAGTCTCTAATAGTTCTCCATCGTTTCTTGCAATCATTATCTAAAAATATATATTATATTTTTTTACATATTTTTGGCTACAGGAGAGAGTTACAGGTCCTTAGCGTTTCAATTTAGAATTTCGCATAGTTGGATAAGCATAATAGTACGAGAAGTCCTTACAGCAATTTGTGCAAAATTGAAAAATATAGCAATTCCACAACCAACTGAAAATTTTTTAAGCAATGTTTCCGCAGAGTTTTATAAATCATGGAATTTTCCGAACTGCTGTGGTGCGATAGATGGGAAACATATTGTAATGGGATTACACAATATCATATATTTTGCTCATAATAACAACCAGAAATGCGACCACACCCAAAAGTGTTTTCGACTACGAATACCACTTTCATAATCGTGAGGTCCATATCAAGGGCGACTGTACACGCGCCGCTCACTTTCAAAGGACGCCGCCACCATATATATAGGGGACAGCGAGACAGCCTGAGTTAGATGTATCCAGAGACGAGAACACCACACGACTCGCTTAGCCGCCCAGCCATCACACACGACTTACACGGAGATTATCAACTTCGGAACGAGCCACAAATTCACTACAATCAACACTATTATTCTGCTTGTTTTGTCTGGTTTAATATAATACATTTGATTACCATTCTAATTGACTATTATTATTTATCAAGTACACCAGCTTTTGGATCCCTGAAGGGCCGCATGTAACAATATTCGTATTGTTTGTCCCGCTGACTCTGGCTCAATGTACTTTACTTATGGCCGGTTTCACCACGTAGGAGTTAAAGCGCAGATTAGTTAAATCTGAGTTACCCAGTAATCCAGAGTTACCATTTTTTCGGTTTCACCACGGGTTTATGTGTGAGAGTTAGTTAACCTGAGGTTAGCTTACGATTGGCCCATAAATTGGCCTTTTCCGGTGGCCTGTTAATGATAACATTTATTTTTCACTGATAACATTGATAATAAGCCTGATAAAGTTGTTTAAAAGTTTTTAAAATTTGTGTTTTGTTTTTTTAAATTGGTTTGCGGATATTTTCACATAAAAACATGAACTCAAATGAAGTGAAGAGGTCTAGGAACGTTAATTTTAATAAAAGAGAAGAAGAACTGCTAGTGGAATTAGTGACCACCCACAAGCATGTTCTTGAAAATAAAAAAACCGACGCAGTCATGTGGAAGGAGAAGGAAGCGTGTTGGACAAAACTAGCGTCGGAATTTAATAGTCAATCACTATTAGTTCCACGCACCGTACAACAACTTCAACTGAAGTACAAAAATATAAAAAAATGTGTGAGGAAAAAAAGTGCTTCGATAAGGTAAGTGTGACCAATATTTCAGTTCTGACGATTCATATCTCTCTTCATTATTGATAATTTTCAAACGTGGGCTAATTAATGAAAATAATTAAAAAATTCAACTCAACTAGTTTAAAGTTCAGCGAGAAAAAAAAATTAACTTAACTCAGTTAAAAAAAAGCAAATTTTTATTTTCAGGCCACAATATTCATAAATCATATATTTTCCTAGTGTTATAATTTACATAAAGATTTACCATGATGTTTAACACTGTGCAGACATAACAAATCACATTTTTAATATGGTACATTATTACCAGAAATGTATTAACAAAAATAATTAACTAATTAATTTAAAAATTAAAAAAAAGTCTTTAAATCTTTAACTTTTTTACAAGTTAATGCCCATCTTTGATAATTTTATTTTGATTAATTCAAGACTGGAACATCTAAAGACAGGCGGTGGCAAAAATGAAGCAAACGCTCTCAGTGATGCCGAACAAAAGGTGAAGGACATGATTCAACTCTCTATTGAAGGCATGCCTTCACAGTTTGACTGTGACTATGAAGTTGATGCCATGCCTCCAGTTCATGAGGATCCCAATGAAGTAGATGGTAAGATCATATTAAGATTGTCCTGTATTTGCCTCCAACCTCAAATATAGGTACCTATATTTATTTTTCAGACAATTTTGTAATGTTTGATGATGACAACGATGACAATTCATACTTTGTGACTGGTAAGATCATGTTACATACTTATATAATATAATAGTAACAATTTAATTAGTTTACTATTTTCTTTTAAATATAATATAAATAAATTGTTTCTAGTTATGCCTAATGAATTTCAATGTGACAAGTCTTCATCATTGACTTCTACAAACATCATAACTAAACCAGGTATGTTTACTAAAGCTTACTATTCTACCCATAGATAACGTTTTTTTAAATTAAATTTTTATATTGAATGACAATATTCTAGAATAGTTATCTATCTAGATACATTTATCTAAATGGGTATAATTTTTATCTAGATAAATTTAGGTATTGCACAACACTGCTAATAAATATATATTGTTACATAATATAATAGTAACAGTTTAATTAGTTTAGTATTTTTTTTAAAATATAATATAAATAAATTGTTTTCAGTTATGCCTAATGAATTTCAATGTGACAAGTCTTCATCATTGACTTCCACAAACATCATTACTAAACCAGGTATATTTACTAAAGCTTACTATTCTACCCATAGATTAATTTACCCATATTTAACAATTAGCAACTACTAAATCGTAACAGGTATCCATTATAATAGTAAAGATCAAAGATGTATCTACTTCGATAGCATCAATGTTTATTAACATGTATTTATTTCAGGTACAACTATCAGCCAATGGGATGTGGTGACTCCTCAAAAATTGAAATCGAAATTGAGTACTCCACTCAGAACTCCTTACAGTGAGTTAACATAACATATAATTTCCATAATATTGATAACTAGAATTAAGTGATGTTGATGACTTGCATTTTTTTTTCAGGAAAAAAAAAAGTCGTACTGTCGAGGCAACAAAATTATTACAACATAAAGATGAGCTTACCGAATGGCAGATAAAATGTTTACAGCAAGAGTTTGAAATTAATGAAGTGAAAAAGAGGACTGTTATTTTGGAAGAGCAAAAATTAAAACTAGAAATAGAACTTCTAAAACAAAAATTACAAATGTAAATTTTTTAAATTTTTTCACGTTTTTTACAATATGAATTTGAATTTATTTTGTTAATCATAAAATTAAATACTATAATACTAAAAAAAAAAAGTTAAATCAGTTAAAAGTTTAATAAGTTTTAAATAAAGTTAAATAAGTTTAAATAAAGTTTAAAGTTTAAGTTTATTCTTATAGTAAATTTGCAAAGTGATCATTGATCAGCCTATCTCTCTCTTGCCTTCCTCTTGTTCCTACCAA